CGGTAAACCGTAGGCAGAGAGAGAGAAGAGGACAACAAACGAGGGGCTATATATATATATATATATATATATATATATACTATTTGACGATATATATATATATATATATATTTGTGCAAGTGTTCCACTTAGGCGGCAGACGGGTGGGCGGGGCAATTCCCGCTCAACCACACAAACGTGGGGAACCCTGCACCTTCTAGTAGATTGCTCATCTATGCTTTTTTTGTTGTTTGTGGATGGTTTGTGATGGTATGTGGATGGGGAGAGAGAGAGAGAGAGAGAGAGAGAGAGAGAGAGAGAGAGAGAGAGAGAGAGAGAGAGAGAGAGAGAGAGAGAGAGAGAGAGAGTTTGGGGATGTTGACAACACACACACACACACACACACAGGCTGACCTGGCTGAGTGGGCATGTAGAGTGGGTTTAGTACCTGTAAGCCCATAACAGACTACTTTCTCAGGCTTACTGCCATAATTGTAGTCACGGGTTTCGAATACTAGCTTGCTAGCGTTGCAGGGTTGATGTGAATAAAGTGGACCACATCTCTCAGGATCATTGCTAACTCTGGGCGACGTGGTGAGTCTGTATCCATCAGTCAAAATGCATCCTGGGAAGACAGTTGGAGTTCAACCTCCTGATAAGTCGATGGAAGTCTGACTAAACAGTCTGGCACAGTCATGCCTTTTTTGTGGAGTTTGTGTATATTAGCAAACATGACAAGACGCATGCACATGCAGTCATATTTTGTTATAAAGTATATCTTCTTTCAGTATTGTCTTTGCATTGCCTGCTTTGTGTGCCCTCGTTTTTTTTTCCGTGTTTACCTGTCTGTGTGAGCACCTTCAAGTTGTGCCAAACAGTCGATCCCTGCCATTTGCGCGGTGTCCCTGCAACAGTATTAGGGCGGCTGCTTTGGTCAAAAGATGTCTGTGTGTCTGTTTATACCCTACAACGTGCGATACATTCATTGGACGTGTGGAATGCCTTGTCGATGTTGCCCCTCTGCCGGACGGTGCATCCGTTTTCCCTGTGTTGCCTTCAAGTTGCTGCTCACCTGCTCGCCTTCTGTTGGCTTCTACCCGGCGTTTGCGCCTGGCCCGCTTGCCTTGCCCACCCGTCTTGCCACTTGCCCTACTACTTCCCGTTGCTGCGTGTCCACTGGCTCGCACTCGGCTGCTTGTTGTCTTGCCGGCCCGCCCGACCTCTCTTTTCTTCCCCGCTTCTTAGCTACTCTTCCTCTTGCCTTGTGCTGCCTTGCTGCTTGCCCACACTCACCTTCATGCTCGCCCGCCCTCTGCCTTCCTGCCGCCTGCTTTGTGTCGCTGCTGGCGTTGTCATCTCCCAAGAAGTTCCCTTCCTAAAGGGGTTGAAGTAGACTGTTGCTCAAACCATCAACTGAGTATTCTCTCTGCATACTGCCAAGGGTTCAGCATCCTGATGAGTCAGAAAGAGTCTGACGAAACAGTCAGTCATTAAGTTAACTCTTTGTGTCTTCATTTGTTGTTCTTGGACCCTGAGCTGTGGGCATGAGAGATGTGACCTTTGCTACCTGTGCTGTGGGCATTAAGGGGTCACCTGCGTCATATGACCAATGGTCAGTACTAGGCTGTAAAGCATTCGGAATGCACCTTTGACTAGCCGTCAATGTCTACCAAATACAGTTAGACTTTGTCTCAAAGGGTGTGGGGGGGTAATGATCGTTGTCTGGTGTTCCTGGTGCGTGGTGTTTCGCACTACGTCACATGCTGGATATACACACACATCATCACACACACACACACACACACAAACACAAACACAAACACACTTGTGGGCTGATGTGGAAGGCTCTCCAAGTTTTTTTGGACCTTTGAGGAGGTCGGGTCAGTGCGTTCTTGCTGGAGTAGTCTTCCGTCTTAGGTAAGTTGCCTTCTGCCCTTCATCATATATATATGTGCAAGTGTGCCGCTTTCACGGCAGACGGGTGTGTGGGCACTTGGCGCTCAACCACACAAACATGGCCCACCTTGCATGTTCTATTATATTGCCTATCTAAACTTTTTCGTTATGGATGGCTTGTGATGATTTGTGAACGGAATGAGAGAGAGAATCTGGGGTCTTTTAAAGCAACACACACACACACACAC